AAGTCACATATAAAGGAAAACCCATTAGGATCACAGCTGACTTTTCAATGCAAACTATGAAAGCCAGAAGAGCCTGGACCAAAGTATTCCCAGTGTTAAATGACCACAGATGCCAACCCAGATTACTATATCCAGCCAAAATGTCTATTATAGTTGAGGGGAAAGAAAAATCTTCCATGACATAAATAGGCTGAAGGAATTCATATCCACAAAACCAGCCCTTCAGAGAGTTCTGGAAGCAATACAAAGAGCCAAGGGGTTGTGGAAAGAAATTCAATGAAGGTTTATAACTATGGAAAAGTACCATTATATCAAGAATGTAAACAGAAATAAAAATGACAGGATTCAATACTCATCTTTCATTAATAACTTTAAATATTAACGGACTGAACTCCCCAGTCAAAAGACACAGACTAGATGAATGGATTAAGAAACAAAACCCATCTTTTTGTTGTCTGCAAGAAACTCATCTCACTTTCAAGGACAGACACTATCTGAAAGTGAAAGGATGGAAAAAAATATACCAAGCATATGGTACTAAGAAAAAAGCAGGCGTAGCAATTCTAATATCTGAAAAAATAGACCTTAAACTAAAAGTAATCAGAAGAGATAAAGAGGGCCACTTCATTCTCATCAAAGGAACAATAAATCAAGAAGATATGACAATCATAAACATATATTCACCAAACTCTGATGCACCCAACTTCATAAAAACAATACTACAGGACTTTAAGACCCAGATTAATCATACACTTTCTATTCAGCACCCCATGGAAGTTTCTATAAAATTGACCACATACTGGGGCACAAAACAAACCTCAGCAAATACAAAAAGATTGAAATAATTCCATGGATTCTAACAGACCACAGTGCAATAAAGCTTAAAATCAACACTGGAAGAAGCCCTAAACACCACATGAACACATGGAGATTAAACAACATACTCCTGAATGATGAATGGGTCAAAAGAGAAACCAAGAAAGAAATAAAAGTATTCCTGGAACTAAATGAAAAGGACAATACAACACAACAAAACCTCTGAGACACACTGAAAGCTGTCCTTAGAGGGAAGTTTATAGCTCTAAGGGCCTACAAAAAAAAAAAAATCGGAAAGAACTCAAATAAATGACTTAACATTGGAACTCAACACACTTGAAAATCAACAGCAAATGATACCCAAACACAGCAGACAAGAAGAAATAACAAAATTCAGGGCAGAAGTTAGTGAAATTGAAACAAAGAAAACAATACAAAGAATCAACAAATCCAAGAGCCAGTTCTATGAAAAGATAAACAAGATTGACAGACCGCTAGCCCAGTTAACCAAAAAAAAAAAAAAAAAGAAAGAAAGAGCACCTCCAAATCAACAAAATCAGAGATGAAAGGGGAAACAGCACAGCAGACACCAAAAAGATCCAGAACATTATAAGGGAATACTTTAAAAACGTGTAGGCTACCAAATTTGAACACTTAAAATAAATGGATGGGTATCTAAAAGCATGGGAAACACCAAAACTAAACCAAGAAGAGATTAACAGCTTAAACAGACACATAACACATAAGGAAACTGAAACAGTAATACAAAACCTTCCGACTAAAAAATGCCCCGGACCAGGTGGATTTACAGCAGAATTCTACCAGATATTTAAAGAGGATCTACATCCAATACTACTCGTTATTCAAAAAGAT